AATTGAATGGTGATGTTTTTATTCAATCATTTATGCTTAAAAGGATAATTAAAAGTATGAATATGATTACCACCACCTACCACTATTTTATAACATAATAAAATATGCTAAAGAAAACTACAAATCTAATTACCATACAATACCACATGGTATAATATGGTAAAACATGCTAAAGAAAATTATACATCTAACTACCTTATCATACAACCATAATAGAACATGATAAATCGAATGATCACAAATTAATTATAATTACCACACAATACCACATGACAAGAGAAGGTAAAACCATATAAATCTAATTATCACCCTCCAACAACATGATAAAAACATGGTAACCACAAAAATACATTTAGTAACCACACATTACCATATGGTATAGTGTGGTAATCTCAATATATATCTAACTAGTGTCGTGCCCGCCCGATGAGTGGTTTGTTTGTTTTTTCTTTCATTATGTTGTTATTTTATTTTTTTATAATGATGTTAAGTTTCTATTTTTCTACCAGTTTGATAAAAAAATTCGAAAACTAAAAAATGCATTGAACCCTTAAAGTGATTAAAGAAATTGATATTTGGTGATAAAGTATGTATAATTTTGGTGTTAGTTATCCAATTATGGCTCAAGCTTTTCAATTTTCACGTATCCAAAATATTAAAGGAATGGACATTGCTACGATTACTTGCAAGTCACTGTTACTTGTACAAATAGGTTGATCGCAAGGTGATAAAGGTCGACCGAATATGTTGTTTTCTTTTTGTTACGTTCAACAAAGCGGTCGACCTTGTACATGAAATGGTCGACCTCTTTGGCATGCAAACAATAAAAAAGGTCGACCTCGTTCTTAAAGTGGCCGACCTCATACATTAACTGGTCGAGCTCATTCTTAAAAGGGTCGACCTCTATTGCATTACCTAATCAACATCGAACTCAGGATTTCTCCGCAAATAGTAAAAAGGGTGGACTTGTCAAATTTGTTGTGAAATTTGTTAAGTCTTAAAGACGACTTGGTTTGAAGCAACTATGATTGTGGATTGATATCAAACCGTTGTGGTTTTCGATTTTAGGTAGGTGCGCACTATTGTGAGGTGTGTTTTATTGTATTTGGTTAGTGATGAAGTTGTTAAACCTTAAAAGTTATGGTTTCTTGCTATTATGATTGTGAATTGAATTTGTTGGTTTCTATCGTAATTTCTTAGACCAAACAAAGTACAGACATCCACAGACATAAGCACAAAATTCAAAGGTCGCGAACTTATATTATTGTAAGCGGTCGACCGCAAAATCAACATTTTCCTCTGCGTTTCACTTCAAGAGGGATGGATTGATGTGTTGTTGACTCTTCTTCTATATATATGGTTGATCTCTTGCTGGAAATGGTCGACCTCATTGTAGATAAGGTAATGACCATTTCTTGAATTCCCGATAAGCAAAATCAGGGTTTCGGAGTATCCGGAAGCCGGATTGAGCCCAAATTTCATATACGAGCTTCCTGCAGCGAGGTAATCAATCCTCTAGTTCTAATCCCTGAATTTCGGCAATTATTTAGGTCGGGGTCCAAATCGCTGAATTTAGCTCCGGCCAGGGTTTGATGTGTTTTTATCGAGAATTTGATCCGGAGCCTAGAATTAACATTGACGGGGGGACACTGCAGGGGATATTAGGACAATCTCGGATTTTGATTCCGTGTTTGTTTGAGAAAGTGAAGTTGGGGTACGGGAGGCTAGAACCAGTGTTTGAATGACCAGAACTGGTGAGGGATTAGCACGACATACCGGGTTTGTCGTATCACGATAATTATATTGATGCTTAGAATTGACCTAGGTGAATTAGAATGGCATGATTAGGGGTGTATGGACTTTTATGCTATATGATGAACCATGGATTGTTGTATGATATTATTGACTTGCCCTATCCGATATGGACCTTGTTTATGTTGATGATTGCATACATGTTGCCATTTGTGGCTTAATCATTGATATGATTTCATGGTTGTTCGATCAGGTGTTTTGACATGATGTGATATTGTGGTTGTATTTGGATTCACAAGTGAGGGAAATAAACTTCCCAGGGTGATATTATGATGTTTAAGGAGGATAACTTGCACGAGGGTTTATCCCGAGGAAGTGCAAATATACGACTCCTGATTTACCTATGTTGAGCCAATTATGGCCAGGTCAAGTACATGTGCAAGTAATGAATAATGTATAAGGATACCAAATATGAGTGTTGTGGTCTCACGGTTAACTTCATAGTAATTAGGGCTCCCTATGCTATTACTTTATTATTATATGTATGATAGTCACACCTTTCATGTGGGGTGACTGAAGAATTCTTACAAGATATGACAACACCCAGAGCGGTGTCGGGGTATGACTACACCCATAGTGGTGTGGGGTATGTATGACCACATCTGATGGGATGTTGGGGTATGTATGACTACATCCGATGGGATGTGGGGTATGTTTCCCGGGAGAGTTATTAGCATGGGAGTAGCCAAGCGCCTATGATTAAAACATGATAAGATGCATATGCATAAGTCAAGGTGGTTGAGTCTTTTGCCTATTGGGATGTCAGATGCCTGTGGTCTGATCCTGGTGCTTTGGCTTGTTTGCTAGATGTGTGGTAGGAGTATGCTCTGTTACGAACTCACAATGCTATGATTATCTCACTCAGCTATGAGCTGACCCTCTTTATCCTTTTTCTCTGCTTATACCATGTGTAAGCAGATTATCAGCAGCAGCAGTAGATAAGTGTTAGGTGGGAGAGGAGCTAGAGTTGAAGCCAAAATGAGGTATGGTCTTCAACTATTCTGTGCGTGGACGACTACTTGGGATTTTGGCCAGTGATCCACACATTTTTGTAAAAATGTTTTGAGAACGTTTTTCATGTGCATACTAGCTTCTGATGTAGTGTGAGATATTCACAGGTGTGGAAAGTTGATGATATGTGTAGATTTTGTGTAACTGTGTAAGTTGTGACGATTATGGTATGTATAAGTATGGTATACAGTTGTGGAATATGAAAACTGTGACTATGGCTATGAAAGCCAATGTATATGGTTATGGCATATGTGTATGTCTATGGATGCAGGGATTCAGATAAATTATTTTGCAGGATTTAGTTACAAGAACTGTTAGCCCATTACGCGAGTAATTCATGTAGAAATTTATTTGGTTGATTTTTGATAATTAATGTAACACCCAAGATTATTTCCGCTGCAATTGTATGAACAATATGATTAGGTAATACGTATAGGGTAGGGTCTTACACATGGTCTTAGCAGACCGTGAACTCACAAGGCAAACCGTGAATTGCCGGTTTTTCACCTCTTCTCCCGGTTTTCGCTCCTTTTCGTCGAACTTTCGTCTTCGGGGCTGGTTTCACCCGTTAGATCCTGAAACGTGCTAAAACACAAGAAACCTAGCGTAAAACCACCATTTTAGGAGCACAATTGCCACAAACGCCTAAGGAAAACGGGGGTAGAATGCGTACAATTAGGCCCGAATAATTTAATAAATATAAAGCATCTTTGATATTGTGTCCGAGAATGTTCAAAGCTCGAAATGATCGTAAATCTGTCCTGAATTTTTTTTTTGGTTGGGTCAATATTTTACCCAAAATCAACCAACCTAATATGACCAATAGCTGATAACCCATAATCTGCGACCCAACCCGAAATTACTCAGGCAGACCTTATTGCCAGTTCCATTAATGATAAACCATGTGAGTTGAACATAAATACATATACATAATTTTTATATGAGTTACAAGGATAACATGTTATGTTTATTTTTAGTGTGCCACTAAGTTATAAAAAAAAACAAATTCTGTATGACATTTCTACTCATGAATTTTGGGAAAAGATTGAATGGGAGCATGTTGCCTCTCTTTAAGTATTTCAAAGTTTTATTTTATGATATCCCAGACTTGTTTGTCCTTTTTTCTATTGTAAGATATTGGAAGAAACTAAACAATTTAACTATTATGTCAGTAGTAGAACAACAATATATAAATACCAAGAGGGTGCTTTTTTCGAACCAAACAATCATAAGCTAGAGAGTACTTGTTGGGTATGGAAAACACACGATCCGAAGAATGCCACATTCGAAGATTTGTATGCGAGGGTACATTTTTGGGAATGGTAAACCCAGTCCTAGACATTTCTGTCATTGTCTGATGACGACTTCTTGACAAAGTATGCCCCCTCAAAACGACATTCCCTTTCTTTATTCCTTTGGTTTATGTTTGTTGTTGATTATGTCGCAAAATTGAATGCGGGAAGAGGGTTCTGAATTTATGTGTATTGCTCATTTATTGAATACTGGATATGTGGTTTCTTTTCTGCTAAGAAGTAGTCTTCTTTGGTTGTTGTTTGGATATATGAAGTGTTTTCCCCAAATGGGTTGTTTTTTGATTCAGGAAATAAATCTCATATAATGTCTACTATTTTTTTTAGGACAAATATAATTTATTAGCAAACCTTTTCAAAAACAAAATAATAGCCAAATCGTTAACTTTCTATCCGATTGACCGTCTTTTGACTATGAAGTGTCAATATATGCAGACATAACTGAAAGTCAATAATTTGACTTTGCCACATACATAAATATTAATTTTAACTCATTTTTATTATTAAAAAAATAATATTAAAAAACCCCTAGAATCTTATCCCTTTCCTCTCCATCCAAGAATTTCATAACCCAATTTCCTCCCACTCTCTCAGTCACACTTCTTCAGTTCCATTTTGTGTCTCCAAATATTAAGTAGAGTCCCTGCCTCCTGAATCCTAATTACAAAACAGTTAACTTAACAGCAAAATAGATAATTTATCACCTTACAATCAATTTGTCATTTTCCCGAACTCATATATTTTGAACTAGAAATCTGACATTGAGCATGTCCTTCTCTCAACACAAAAAGAAGGAGCCACCAAACAGAAAACAAAACATCAAAAGAAGATAAAAAAAAAAAAAAAGAACTGTGATGTATTTGTTGATCAGTAGTCGTAGGAATTGACATAACCACAATCGGCCCGAACCTCTCCACCTTCCTGAACCTCAGGATCCAAGATATTCCCAAACTTGGTCATGGAAGCAGCAAACTGATTGTGGAACACCGAATCGGGCGCATAAGCCATGGCATTGACGAAAGGGGAAGTCCTGGAATCGGCATACAACATCTGATCCGTCCGCAACAACCCCATCTTCTTCTGCAAATTCTTGTAGTACTGATTGTTGAACTTCCCCGGGCTCATCCCTTCCAATTCGACGTAATCTGAGCCCCACCTGCACTTCCTCGTCAGGTAGTTTGCATACCTCTCGTCCAGCAACGAATCGGGCTTCCCCGTTCCCTCGTAATCGTACAGCCTGTGTTGGATTGTCTCGCAGCTCGTCCTGCCGATGGTATGTGCCCCAGAGAGCGCGACGAGGTCCAGCGCGTTGAGACCCTTGGACTGGTAGAATTCGATGAGGGATGTGACGTTCTCGTGGGCCGTGGGGACAGACTCTGCCTCTTTGTCTATGGAAACCTTCCCATCTTTCCTCCCGTAGGGGATCGACCAGTACGGGCCGCCCTGGATCACCGTGGCGTCTCGAGACGCCGCGGTGAGAATGTCGGCGCAGGACACTGTCTTGGGGCACTTTTTCTCCACCTCCTTCTTGATGTCGTCGACCACTTCGAACCCTCGGAGGGTCTTGCTGGCTTTCGATGTCCTCTCGCTTCCTACGTGGCTCAGTAGGATCGAACCGTCACAGCCCTGAAAAAACAAATTTTACCAACTGATTAAGTACTAGAAAGATGTTAGTCGGACCGCGACACACATTTCGTCAATTTTGGGGGCGCGAATTGTCACGTACCCTGACGGAGCAGTCGTGGAAGTGGAGGCGCATGAGGCTGGGGGCGAGGGTGTAGTCCTTCTTGACCCATTCCTTGACCTTGCGGTTGATGATGGCTTCGGCGTCAGGGCAGGTCTTTTGGTAGTGTGCGAATGAGAGATAATCGTCGTCGTCGCTGTCGAGCAATGAGGAGATGTGTAGAGCTGGTGCTGCTTCGTCGTCGTACTCGTCGCTGTCGGCTAAAGCGGAGCCGACGCAGATGACGGCGAAGAGGAGGAAAGTGAGGTGGAAAACGGAAGAGAATCTCCTCATGGTTTGGAGTTTTGGTGGAGGGTTTTCAAGAAACAGAGGAGCTGTTGTTTGCTGTTCTGGTTTTGGATTGCATCAATTTGATTTTTTGCTATGGATATATAAAGAGAAGATTGACATAAGTTAAGAGGGGACAGATCGAACAGAATGATTTGTGGGATTTGAATAATGATTGGAGAACTACTACGTGGGAAGCACATCCTCTCTGACTTCAAACATGACTTGCCCCCACGTAAGAGCTGCCCGCTGCCGATATGCTGATTTCTTAATCGTCTCAAGGGTTTAGTTGACTTTGGTTCATCATTTGTTTTTGTCACCTATCCCACTATTTTTGGATGGAAAGTGATCACGTTTCGATTTTGATCATCGATGAAGGCTGTAGGTGCCGGTGGAGAACATTTAGTGATGGCAATTTTAAACATGATTCGCTCTATCCGATTTGTTTGAAATAGGTATTATTCATTTAGTAATAGTATAGAGTGAGATGTGGATACTAATTTCATTCTATCTCGACCTACATTATCTTGATTTGTCTTAATATATATTTTATTTCTCTTTTTTTTGATTTGTCTTAAATCATACTTTCGTTCAAATGAAACTTGCAAAACACAATCTTTCAACTAATTAGAATTATTACTAAACAAATTATCTCATTTTTTATTTATTAAATATTTTCTAAAAAAATGCTCCAAATAACATAAAAAAAATTGGATCAACCTATTCCGTCTCGTATCCTCTCAGATATTTAGCCAATATCATAAAAAGTTAGGGATATGAAATAGGGATGGCAACGGGTCGGGTTGGGCGCGGATAGTGCATATCCGTTACCCTACCCAAAGTAGTTCGGGTTTTACCCATACCCATACCCACTAAAGAAATGGGTAAAAAATTAAAACCATGCTCATACCCGTTCGGGTTTCGGGTATCCACGGATATCCATGGGTAATAAATTCTCTTTATAACTCCAACAAATCTGTTAACATTCACACGTATTCTCACATTACATAAGAGGAAAAACACGATAATAATTCCCTAGAATGAAGAACATTAATTAAAATAACACAATTGCCTAAAAATGTTATATTTATATGCTAAATAAAAAATACGTTAGAGAAAAATAATGATTTTCTAGACAAAATACATGTGCATATGTATAATCGAGCGGGTTCGGGTTGGATAGTGCGAAAACCATGCCCACCCATTACCCGCAATATTCGGGTTCGGGTTTTACCCATACCCACTAAAAAGTCCTTCGGGTTTGAGTTTTACCCTATCCAATTAGATCAGATTCGGACAGATATCCACGGTTACGGATATTTTTGACATTCATATTATGAAATATTGAAATAGCCACTCCCAAAATTAACATTCCATTAATTTGGTTGGACTGAATCCAAATTAAATTGTCAACAATTCATCGTAGTCACGTAAGGACTGAGCACAGCTGGGCTCGACCCATTGGATAATTGTTGCTTGATGTGTAGCCCAGTGAGATGGGCCAGAGTGTATTAGTAGAATAGATGTCTACAATTCTTTTTTCTCCTAACGAACAAATAGATCATCTCTTCATTTGGATTTGGTAATGGGTTACACGGTGAACGAGAGGTGACTGATGGTTCCGTATAGAGATGGCAATTTCAATCCAATCCACCAATCCAATTTATCAATCCATTAAAAATATCCACCTAATCCAATCCATTTAAATCCAATCCATTTGATCCAAATCCAATTGGATTGGTGGATTCATGGATCGGATCCATGGATCATTGGCAAATTACGGTTTAGTACCTATAATTTTTATTTTTTACATTTTGGTACCTAAAATTTTATTTTTTATACGAAGAATATCATTGGAAAATTACGTTTTGATACCTAAATTTTTTCATTGTGACATTTTAGTACCTAAACTTTTTACATTTTACATATTGGTCTTTGGTTGAGGATGTCATTTGGATTCATGGATAATCCACTAATCCACTTGATCCAATCCATGAATCCACCAATCCATTTGATCCATGGATCCACCAATCCAATCCACCAATCCAATCTATTTGCCACCTCTAGTTCCGTAGATCGTATTTTATTCTTGCTCATTTGATTCTAAACTCATTAATATCGAAATTTGAACTAATACTCAAACTCCAACACTGTATATGTAATTTATATTTTGCAAGACTAAAATAGACAACAGTTCGTATCCATGATAAACCATGTGAGTTGAGCACATACATGATTCTTGTATGAGTTATAAGACTAACATGCTATGTTTATTTTTCTTGTGATACTATGTTAAAAACAAGTTTAGTATATCATTTCTACCCATGAATTTTGGAAAAGATCAAATGGGAGCATGTTGGCTCTCTTTAATAGGGTTATTATATGCAGGGGCGGAGCCAAGGGGGTTTGGGGTGTCCCGGAACACCCCTAATTTTGGGGAAAATCGATTATCCAATCCCGGTAGTAGTTTGTATACGGGTAAAAGAAAAATATATAAGTAATAAATTAGGTAATTTGAATCTAGAACACTACTATTAACTATTACATTGGTAAACATGTTTTCCATTAGGCTATAACTCATTTGTTGTTGCATTATAAACATAAGTCTAATAGTAAAAATGTTATTCCTTTCCTCAATTATTTTCAAAATTTGACAATTAAGCTCAGTTGCGGCTACCCTTATTCCCTCCATTCTATAATATCCATTAGTTTATTTGTTTCTCAAAAGTATTGATTTTACCGATTGCAACTGCAAGTGTTGAAATAACATTTTCAACTTTGAGATATTTTAAGAACAAGTTTCGGAATTGAATAAGCGATTAGTTCGTGAATGATTGTATTGTAAGATAGAGAGATTTGTTGAGCCGTGTAGACACCAAATATATTTTTAACTTTTTCAGAATATGAAAACATGTCGTGAACTTTTAATGTAACTTGCAATAATTATATATTTTCTTGTTTGATAATTATTAATTTAATTTTTGATAAAGGACAACCCTATATAAAATTACTGGCTCCGCCACTGATTATATGGGACTATAAGTATTTCAAAGTTTATATTTTACAATATATTTTACTTGTTAATCCGTCTTTTCATATTGCAAGATATTGGAAGAAACTAAACAATTTAACTAGTAGGCTAGTATAATTATACAACGATCAAAATGGTTTTCTTGAGCGGCACCGATTGCGCGTCAGGGTTAGGCGTCACTGTTGGTGCTATCTGCTAGTGCCCCACTACTTAGTCTCCGTTGGCATAATATTTTCTGCTCCTAGTAGGGTGCTTCACTAGTTAGTCTGTGCGTGTTACTAGTAACACTTTTAGCCGGTGCTTTACTACTTAGTCTCTTTATGACAGACTTAGAAACACCCCAATTACTTGTATTTTTTTAATGGATTGTTATATTCCACCTCTTTTTGTTTTGGTTCGAAATTTTGAGATTGAGCAGAGTATGCCAGTTGTCTTGTGGAAAAAGGAGGTTGCAAGGTTTGTCGTTTGGAAGTTGCGATTGTTAAATAGATGTATTGTTAAGAATGCATGTATAATATTATACATGTATTGTCGAATTTGATGCATTGTAGAATACAACGTTTGATATGTGTGATTGTGTATGTTGCATTAGCTAAAAGCTGAGACAAAACAATCTCAACTCAACTATCTCAACAATCACAACTAAAAGTTGAGATATAACAATCACTCAAAATGAGTGATAGTTTCTGTCACATCACAGAAACAATCCATGTATTGTTTATGTTAAAAAAACAAAAAAACGATGCATTGTAAACAATACATGCATAATGACAATCTCAACAAAACAATCGCAACTTCCAAACGACCCCTAACTTTTGTCGAATCTAGAGAATGTTTGATTCTTTGGTTAATCAAAGTGAAACCATGTACAGATCGGCCATATGATTTATCGTTTACTATGTGAACCCTCCCTCCGTCATAGACGATCTTGGTCGGGATCCAGATGAGAATTTGCACCATCATCATCACCATCATTGGGATTCACTGTCGATAATTTATTTCGTTCTCTATCATACTTGTTTGTTTACCAATTAAGTTTATTTTCTTCTTGTCTAGTTCTCTGTTTCTTGTTGTGGAAGCATGGTCCGTTATTACACTTTACAAGTTACAACAACCCAATCCCTTCGTCTTCTGGTTAGCGTTCAACTACGAAAAACTCGCCATCTACGTATAGATACCAGTGGCACCTAATACACGTGTGTTACAGGGTTTTTTTCGTTAAATTATGTTACGGTTATAATAGCCTTTATTTTCTCCTTATTCACCGTGTTTACACCCTAACACTTATATATATATATGGCAAAGGCTAGCGTACGTCCGGGCGTACGCTAGCCTACTGTACGCCCCATTGAGTTTTGCTATTTAGACAAAGAATTAATCGGAGTTTGGGACATGATACTATACCCTAACCTCTAATGGGTGAATCCCAGTCCCCAATTCACTAACCCAAAGCATGAGATTCGTTTAATCTTAAAAATGAAAATCAACGATTCTGATTCGTCGAAATTTTCATTGGTTTTCATTTTAAGATTAAACGAACCTCATGGTTTGGGTTAGAAAATTAGGGACTGAGGTTCACCCATTAGAGGTTAGGGTATAGTATCATGCCCAAACTCCAATTAATTCATGATCTATATAGCAAAACTCAATGGGGCGTACGCTAGCCTGAACTATATATATATATATATATATATATATATATATATATATAGGTTCTCCATGAAAAGATGTTTAATTCTAAATTTACAGCTTTCTGAGTAAATTTGGTGAGGGGATTTTTGTCTTTTAATTAAAAAAAGCTCGGCTTTATTAGAAACAAAAGACATTGTTTATTATACTAATGTAAAAATAATTTCTTAGGGAATTTTCTTAAACCAATTATCATATCATTATTTTTAGTTAAAAAAGATCGGTTTTTTTTTAAATGATGGCCGAGGGTTGTGTGTATATAGGTTTAGTTTGTTTATTTTATGGT